TGCGCCCTCTATACAGCCAACAATCCTAACAGTGCATGTTGGTCCCCCATGATGCCCTTTTTCTTATTTTAATTGAGAGCTGATTTGATGAGATAACTACCTGCCAGTGACCTTGCAGGGAGGTATAATCTTAAGCCCCACTACACTACTTATAGCTACTTGCGCCTTCTATATATAGCAAACAATGCCTAATCGGTGCCTGTTGGTCCCCCATGATTCCCTTTTTCGTATGTTAATTGAGAGCTGATTTGATGAGATGATCACCTGTCAGTGACCTTGCAGGGAGGTCTTATCCCCCTGGCCAAACTAGCACAGATGGGCTTTAAAGAAACCTCGCCCCAAGAAATAACTCTAGTTATTCTGAAAGATTTGTTGTATTATATATATTGCTCCATTATTGTACACGATTCCCTACCAAAGTGTATGAGAGAGGTATAAAGCAAGAATAATGTACAGTTTCCCAACAAGACATGGGCATTGCCATTTTCTTGATATCGTGACGTAATATCGTATCGTAATAGATTTTGGGGGGATTTATTATTGAATTAAAAAGTCTTTCCTACTAAAGCGTGGTGCATGCTACATGTACAAGTTTGCCTGGTACGTCACATTATCAAGAAAACGGCTGCGCCAATGTCATGCTAAAATGCATTACATTAAATCCAAGAATATCTTCATTTCATGTACACTTTCGTATGAAACATTGTACATCGCAGGACAGGAAACGCATCTCATTTCTCAGCATACGTACACTTATTTTGGGGGATGAGGTTTCCTTTTAAAAAAATGTCGAACACTTGATATTTTTCCTTAGCACACAAAGATGTTGAATTTGCCCCTAATAAAAAAGGGGGACTTGCAGCCACTTATTTGTGTAATTTAAAAGTAAGTCAACCGCCCCACCCCCACCAACCCCCTCTCGAGTCACTATCAGGAGCCGTATAGGGCCTGATGAAGCCAAGTGGGATTCTGTATGTATTATGAGCTTAATACTTCCATCAGGTGCCTTGATCATGTCAAATAACAGTCAGGCTTTCACACGCGAACCATCCTGAAATATATGGCACTCTAGGTCTACATTTTGAAAAATGATTTCAATCTCGTCGTTTTATTCTGCACGTATCGTGTGACTATGAAATAAGAAGACATTTATAGCAATGATAATTTGCGCAACATATATGTCAGTTCTTAAACCAGTAGTATACGAGATGTCATGTCCTGACGCACGCCTGCCTGCGTCAGTGACTTGTCAGATCTCTGATGCGCCTTTAGAGCGTAGTATGCAGGCACACACTTTACAACAATTCATAAAGCCTTGCGCAGAGCCTAGCTCTGTTAGTCTACGTTTGCTATATAGCAAAACGACACTGGGCCAACGTTGGACCAACGGATGCTGATACGTTGGCCCAATGTCGTATAGCCAACCAATATCCATCGGTTATCAGTGAAAATGGCGACAATGGCCCAACGTTTAGCCAATGTTGGATTGCCAACTGCGACCGTGTCGACCATGGTCGATGTTGGTCCAACGTCGTATTGTTATCTGGGCATGGCTGTATTAAAAAAAATAGCGTTAGTGGATTACATACATAGCCCAAGGTGTGCAGTAGACTGTGCAGTTAGTAATTTTAGTTCAGTTGCTTTGTTATGCGCAGTGATTGACAAGAAAGAAAGGAGAAGAAAACAAACAAAAAAAGAAAATCTATTGTGAGTCGCCAATCCAGACATAATAACCCTTGTCGCTGAAGAAAAGCGTCTATCACCGTACATTTGAAACCCAGGCGGCACCGTTTTGGCCCTAGAGTAATAGTCAGTGACAGGGGTGGCGCCACAGGGTGGGGGGGGGGGGGCAGGGGGTCGGCCGCCCCCTATCATTTCAAAAAAGTAAGAGGAAGGGAAGAGGAGAGAGAGAGAGAAAAGGGAGAAGGAAAAGGAAAGGACAATAAGGAGAAGGAAAAGGAAAGGAAAAGAAGGAGAAGAAAAGAAAAGGAAGGGGAAGAGAAGGAGGAAGGCCAGGGGAAGAGAACTATCAAATGTAAATTATGACGTAAGGGAGGGCGGGGAGAGGGAACAGAACAAAAATTAAGATAAAGAAAAAGGGCGAAAAAGCAAGCCAAATCAGGCATCAATTTCAATAAAATCTTCAACTGCTGAGGGGGGCACATCCCCCTCAGACACCCTTCTGCGTTCTTACGCCTGGTAGTTGAACTTAACACTGTTTTTCTTTTTAATTTTGCAGAAGTATGCACCAAAACGAGCAATTTTATGCATCAATTAAAACCAAAAACTTCCAACTCCTCAGGGAGTACACCCCCCCCCCCCTCAGAGACACTTTTACGTCGCACAAGCGCAACGATTGCGCTTGCTCGCCCATTCGCCCTCCCCCCCCCCCCCCCCCCCAACAAAATAACCTGGCGCCGTCCCTGGTCAGTGATGGTGACTGGCGAGAAAGAAAGGAGAAGAAAGAAGAAAGAAAGAGTGTGAATGCTTCTTAGACAGCAACGATTTAAAAAAAGAAAACCTATTGTGAGTCGCAAATCCAGACATAATATCCCTTGTCGTTGAAGAAAGGGTCTAAGCACTTTAGATTTGAAAGCACGTACTGTTTTGGCCTAGTTACCTGGGGGGTTTCACAAAGATCCTACATGTAAGTTGAACTTATCTCTAAGTTGGACTTAAAAATTATGGAAAGCCGTTAGCATCTATGAAAATATTTTATAAAAGTTATTTTAAATGGCATAAAATGTTGAATCAAATCATTCATATTTTCTATTATCAAGGAGATTTCATGTTCTTGAATTGGAATTTATGAAAAATCTAAAATACCTAAATTCTTGCTTTTGAATATATTTTATTTCAAGGCTACAAATGGCTCTCCATAATTTTGAAGTCCAACTTAGAGTTAAGTTTGACTTGGGATCTTTGTGAAACACCCCCTGGAGTAATATAGTCAGTGATAGTGAACAAAATTTAAACCATCCAAATATATCAAAATTGTAAAGAATCATTATCCACCCAATTTTCAAAATTTCCCGAAACTTTGTATTACCTTTAATAGATAATACCGGGACACAGGAAATTATTATTGTATGTAAGGCGTACCAAATGTCAAGTAAGTGTAAGCACAATACCATAGTTAAGATGGATGGAGTGAAATAGAATTGGCATCCAATTCCTTCAAATTTTGATATACTCTTCTTTCAATCATCTATGCTATTAGCATTTCTGAGATAAAAAATGGGGATTCCCTCCTTAATTTTTTAACACAAATTATTTCAAAAATAATAATAATAATGATAATGATAGTGTAAACTTATAAAGCGCACACACCGTCCAGGAACGCTCATGGCGCTAGCTCAGCAACAGTTCTCTTTAATACAAGTAAAGTAAATGTTTATTTGATGATAGAGTTACACTATCAGAAACTCAAAAACAATTTTGCAACATTTGCATCACCTATTTCAATCCTCAGCTCTGCCCGGTGGGGCCCGGTGCCCTCCAGCTGCTCCACTCACTGACAATTCAAGGGGCTAGCCCAGTCAGCACATGGTTCACAGGGGCTCTAGCATCTGAGGCCACCAGGTCCCAAAGGTGTTCTATACCTGATTATACCCATTAAAACATCGAGATAAACATGCTGGTCAAACTCTTCATAACTATTAAAATAGAAACTTTTCATTTTTCACACAGGGCATGAAATAATATGCCAGAAATGAAGAAAAAAACAAGGAATAAAATAAGCTTTCCCTCGTCGTTTAATATAATAGCAAAAGGCTAGTAAAATAAGTAAAATTTCATATATAGGAATCTGAGCGTCATGCATGTTTTAGGTTGGGTTATCCAACGTTCTCGCAAAAGCACAGTAAATTTTATATTGTATATCACTTAATTTTTAGGAAAACATGTCTCAAAAGTGCAAGAAACATTATGCAAGGAGGTTTGAAGGTTGGTTACCTTACTGCTAAGAAAGCATGCGTTTGCTTGTAAGTTAGCAACCAGGAGACCGATGGATTTAGGTCCTCTCCGAGGGACTTGATAATGAGGAATAACACCCTATCAAAGGGTACTAGCGCATCGAATTGGTTTCGAACCGGGACCTCCCGGTTACCAGACCACTGCTCTACTACTGAGCTATCGCGCCTTATACTCTTTCGTGTCTTTAAAACGCTGAAACTCATGAGCTTCCTTTGGGCTCTGCTTCTGGACCCCCCACACCGTTTTTCCCTAATTTTCATCATTAATAATGGTCTTCTTTCAATCAAACTTTCAGATTAGCTTTAATTGTACATCTAGCATCAAAGTCACTACCTTAGCACCATTTTCTCTCATCTGAACAATGTTACCAAGTCCCTTTTAAATACGATGTGTCAACATTCCATAATCTAAATTTCCTCTCTCGGTCGCTACGCTCTCTCGCACCCTGTCTTACGCCAAACCGACAGGAAAAATGATTCTCTCTATCGAGTGATCGATTGTTTTTTTTTCCTTTACAAATAATGATATTGCAGTATATCGATTACCTTGACATGGCTCTGTCAAAATTAAAGAATGCAACATGCAATGATCCGACTTATCCTTGTTTTCACGAAGTGACGGTAGTGAGGAAAATCGTAACGTAAAGTGAATGCAATTTTTTTTCACTACCGTCACTTCGTGAAAACAGCGACGTATTGTGTGCTGAGAATTCGAATCGTAGCCCGGAAATAACGTATTTTGACATTAATCCGCATTTCCCGCTCTTCACCCAAGTGTAAATGGGTATCAGTCCTGTTGTTTGCTGGGGTAACACTAATTGCACGGCCCGCATGGAGGGAGAGCAATATTAATACTGATGAGACTACCCTTGGTAAATAAGACCCAATTATTCAGAATCATACTTTGAAAGCTGATTATATGATGAAGCCGTGACTAACTAAAACTTATATGATTAAGCCGTGACTAACTAAAACTTATATGATTAAGTCGTGACTAACTAAAACTTATATAGCTGTAATACTCACTTAATGATAACACCTGCTCCAAATGATTAGAGGTCAATGTAGCAATCGATCTGTTATCCGTTAGTATGTGAAGTATACGAATCCAGAATTGATAGAAATGTGTCGAAATTACAAGTTTAATTGGTGCAGACGTCGGCTGAAATAGAGAATGTATTCAAGAGAAGGTTCCTTTGCCCATGAAATCCAGAGCGCATCTGGTGCCAGTGAAGTATCCTCGTTTTAAATATAGGAATGAGTTTTTGGTTCGAGTACTAGGTACGTGCGACACAAATCACTTTTGTGCGCACAGCACTGGTGAGCGATGCATGTCGCCTTCAGCGGAACAGCACGTACAGACACGTCGGGGGGGGGGGGTATAACAGATCCCATCCACGCACTTTCCTTTGTTTTAGGGGGTAAAGCCTAAAGAAGGGCTACCTGCATATGTTTCAGGTTGTAACAAAACTCAAATTCAATTTCAAATTTGTTGAGCTTTTAAGTAAATATCATAATTTAGGATGTACACGAATATACTGTACATGCACTCTGGGGTTCCAGAAATTTGCCCTTCAACTTTGGTCTTTCTTTTTACTAAAGCTACTTGCAATATCATTAATTTGGATGTTGCATGACAAATTATGAATCCAATTAAAAACTACTCTAAGCTATGCATATGAAATATCGGGACGTGTGTGTAAGTTTTTGACATATTGAGCATTGGTGTAGGACGAAATTTGACTCAAGTTTGACCCCTTTTCGATATAATGGTATGTGCTAAAACGAAAGTATGAACAATTTGCCTGCGTGAGGTCCAATTGAAACAAGATTTTCAATAGAGAACATGACAATGAAACTATTTGCACAAGTCATGTAATGCGATGCCCAAAACCGTTTGCACCTTTCATCCTGTATAAATGGAAACCATGCATGTTCGGAAGGTGTCAAGTGAGCTGTTGTTCCTTTAGACCCAGAATTGTCATCCAGGTCATTTCAGGGTCTGGGGCGTAGTTATAGGGGGCTTATGCCCCTCCCCTCCCATCAAATGGTGAAATCAAAATAAAAGAGAGGAAACACGAGAACAGAGAGAAAATAAAAAGTAGAAGCTGTAGATAAGACGTCTGGACCGGCCTCATGCACCGTACCCTTTTCAAAAGCCTTGTCAATTTGCATTTTATTTTCCGAGTTAGACCGGTGCCCCTATCTTACCAGCGCCCCTCCCAGGATGGACTCACGGTACGCTACTCGTCATGGTTATTATTATTTCCTTTCGTGTTGTCATTTTAGTCAGAATTCGGGATTTGGGCCCAGGGACCACTGCCAAGCAACAGGCTTATAGGCATACGTGCCTGATGCCATTGACACTATGTATATAAATACATCATAGACTTTTAGAATTTTATTTTTATGGGGAGGGGGGTAAGCCGGGCACCTAGGAGAGACTTTTCTACTTGGGATTGTGGGCTGGACTTTTCTACTAAAACAAAAAAGTGTGACAATACTGATGAATGGGGCATCACGTTTTGAGTATCCCTTTCATTACAAAGAAAGGAAATAAGGAATAGAACTTCTACTAATCCTTTTGTGTAGGGTGGGGAGTTGGTGGGGTTTGCTTGAATCATCAGGACCCACATAGCTTACAATCAGGCGCGTACGCAGGTGGGGGGGTCGAACCCCCTCCCCCTCAATTTTGTTTTATGTGTGTGTTTTGGAGAACCCCCCCCCCCTAAAAAATTGAACTAAATATCGGTCGGCCAAATTTGCAAATTTCCGGGTCAAAAAAATAATTAATTTACTCTTGAAATCTACGAATGGTCGCGCTCTTTACGTGCATCTTCACGTGATCTTTCACTTTCATTAAACGAAAAGGCATGTAACGTGACCACCCGACCGGACGCGATGACCCGATGGATCGAGGTAAGCCTCACGTAACCCGACGGGTACTAAACATATGCCTAACATTAACACTAACCCCCCCCCCCCCCCCCCTCCTGGATCAATAGACCAATATGTACCTATGCGCCCAAATCGCCTAGGACAAATAGTGCCAAATAACGACAAAATGGTTGTAAGATAAGACCTATATGACCGGGAGCCAGGGGGGGGGGGGTCAACCTAGCTGGGAAGGAAACCAATTTTCTTGTGCACAGATGTAAAGATCGCATAGCTCCACATAACAAATTGACCGTCTGACATGTTCTAAGTGGTGGGTGTGGCCAGGGGAACGCAGTGCATTATCAGATGCCCCCTTGAAGGCACCATTTAACAATGTATCTCTGTGTGTTAGTTATAACAAATGGTATTTACTGTTTTCTTTGTAAGCTTATGCTATTGTTTTTCGTATACTAATGCCAATAAGCACATTTTTCATCTGAAAATACACAAGGAAAAAAGAAATGTAATCGTATATATAGCTAATGATTGTAATTCTTTGCAAAGTCAAGTATCACTTTCCTCGTAAAAAATAATCGTTCTCATCTATTTTGTTGTTATTCCTAGAATTATCAACCTTAAACAATTGTCTTTATCTTTTATTGTGAGTCCTTTTAATCTTGCAAAACATTACTCAAAACCGATGTGAAATTCTCCAAACTTGGCAGACGGATGGAATGCCAGACTCCGCATGGTGCTCCATTTCCATGACGTCACTTCCCAGTGACGTCCTCCATGTTTCATATCGGCATGCAGATAATATGCAACAGATGATAGCATGTCACTTATTTCATTTACAGTATTCAGACCTTAGTAAATAGAAATAAATTGGGTTAAAGACAGAATTTTCAACTAAAGCCAGCTACCATATTCGGGGTTTTTTTCTATATCATCAAACGAGAAACCATTCAATGTTTTTGACACTCGATACGCCAACTTCGCTATGATAATCATCACGCAACACATTTTACATCATTATTGTTTACAGTCAGAAGGCTAGGAAAGATGTCAAAGGTTACGTACTAATTTGACAAATAACCTTGAACTTGCCCCCATTAGCTTTCAGTCAATGGACGTTCTCAGTTGTCTATTCTAAAGAATAAGATCAATAATCATCTGAATATTTTACAAAGAAAGGGAGATATTTTTGAAATAATAGGAAAAGAAAAGAAAGAAGACAAAACAATGCTATTGTATTTCGAAATCGGTTCACTTGATTTCAAGCTTTACACAGCAGTGCACATGATTCTTTTAAATATCATGACCATATCTCCTCTGGTAGTGTTCCTTCTAATAATTCTATAAAGTATCCCAAGGTCACCGATCGGTCATCTGACGTCATCATGACCCATCTCAAGGGCGGGGGTTAATGCGGCATTCAAAATCAACGTTCCATTAAAGTAGCATTTTCATAATTATTTATGAATTTGCATGGCCTTTCACCTGTATTATTTCGAAACAATTGACAGTAACCCTAGCCATATTGCGCTATAAAGCAGAAATGGACAACTGAATCACTGACCGACTTCACGTTAAAGAATTATTAAGGTCATAACAAAAAAGACCAGTTCGTAGTTAGCACATAGTACAAAATGATGACCCCCAAATATCCACTGTGATCAGCTCGAGATTGCCAAATAATCCGCTATTTTAACTATTCCGATCGCAAATTATCCAGCTAATTATAATTTGCGTCTTCGTCAGCCCGCAGTTTCAATCAGCGGAATATTTGGTCGAGATAATTATCCCAAGATATCTTGGGCTAGTTTGCAAATATCCCGCTATTGGCCGGTGCGTCGACTCGCATTATTTCTCGAGCTCGAGTTTCGAGTTTCGAGGTTGAGTCTCGAGCTGATGAGGACGCGATTTGTAACTTCGGGCTTATTTCTCAAATAAAACATATCGGGCTATTTGGCAATCTCGAGCTGATGAAGTCATACCGCAGAAGTAGTCCCATTTTGAACAATACCCTCTTGAGAAGAATTCTTCCACTTGCGTTCAATAGAATGTACCCGAGGCGCATACAATAGTGAATGATTATATGACTTTCATTATCCAGTATATGTCTCGGTGGGTTTTTACGTTTTTGGTACAAAATGATCTTTATACAGTGTATACACACGTGCACATTGCATATACGAACCGGCTTTGATTATTGACAATGGGAAATGTACTCGAAGTGTACTTCACAGAGTTACAGTACTAATTTGCTTTAAATCGACTGCAAATTTAATCGGATTTCCTCAACAATTTTCACTGATCGGTTTATCTCGTTTCTACTTTTAATAAAACCAACGACGCAACGATACACTGGTCGAGGATTATGGGTTAACTTTTATGGCTTTTGATGTGTTCGCCATAAGTCTTCCTCTCCCTCATAAAAATACAAAATAATAATAGGCATTTATATGGCGCCGTCGATTTAGACTATTCTATTCCGAGGCGCACAAGAAAAAATAAATGAATGAGAGGATTTGGATGAGTGTCATGGTGCCAAGTACACGTATTGTTAAAAAAAAGATAAGATTTCAACTTGGATTTAAAGGTCTCTAAGGAAGTTATGATTCTCATATTAAATGGTAAATTATTCCAAAGACAAGGTGCTGCAGATAAAAAAAAAAGCCCTTTCACCACAGGCTACTCGTGTCTTTGGGATCTTCAGAAGATGCTGGTGTGATGATCTTAGACTACGAGCTGGTGTATAAGACATAACAAGGTTTTGTAAATAGTTTGGTGCTAATCCGTTTACAGCCTTCCATGTGAGGAGAATGATTTTGAATTATATGTGCTTGCGGATTGGCAACCAGTGCAGCTTTTTGAGAATGTTATCCTCCTTCCTTGGTGTTCTTTAGTGAGTATAGTAAGAACATGACTCCAGTAGTCGGCCTAGCCCCCCCCCCCCCCCTCCCCACATCAATTATAAACATATTAATCGCTATATACATCCAGATTTATTATAAATATCAACATGATTGAGAGTCGTCATCAATTTCCACATAGCTCCTTCTATTTGTGAATATTTAAAAATATCCGTCCTCCGAAGAAAAATGCTTTACGTCTTAAAACGTATTCCAGAATTGGTCCTTGACAAAATAGTAGATTTTGCAATTGCAACACAAAATTATCGTACATATAACAGCTATACTTTCTGAATATTTGCCAGCGATCTGATTTTATATTCCTAAGCATTTATATTGTATCAAACAAAGCCTTGGTTGAAGGAAACTCGTCAAATTACCGCGTTTATCCTCAGCCTGGGAGATAAGCCAAATAAAGATGATTGGACATATCACAATTATCATCTAAGCAGATTATGTAGCACCATCAAGCATCAATTGATCAAGGTGAG